CTCCATTTTATTATTCGACAAAATATGTTTTTTTAATGGAGATGTTTATGGTATGCCTGGTAGTGGAATACAGTCAAAGAACCGGATACTTGAAGAATAACATTTTGCCTTTGCGTTTCGAATCCTGACTCTTCGTCAGATCGAATTCACTCGCGATAAAGACAGGAAAGAAGATGACTTTGATGGTAACAATTTTGTTAACCTCATTGAAGTACTGAGGTTGTCTGGAGATAAAAGGTCATCAGCTTGGTGGATTAGTACTCAATAACTGTTGAAATTAGATTCCTTCTTCAATAAGGAATTGTCACAAACTGATAATTACTTCATCCAGAATCATGCACGTCAAAGTGATAAAACTGATCCACATTTTAAATTTATCTGTAAAAGCTTTATTTTGGTCTCAAACATTGGAATTCGAAATACGTCAGTGAGACATTACTGGAGGACAATCGTAAGCAGTTGTGCAGAAAGCTCATTCATAATCTGATACCAATATTCAATGGAAATTCTTCCCTGTCAGTCCATTTTCGAAACAGTCCGTGAGGCTTTAAACCAGTGTTAGTTTCAGTTATATGTATCCGAAACCTAAAATGTACTATCAGGTATGATTTAAACACACTGGCAGCAAACATACAGATTGATCAAACAGGTAGAAGTCCTGGGCTAATATAGGTGGCAGAAACCAACTAAGCTAGTTCACAGACTCGTCTCTGATCAGAAACGGCACTTCTATCATCAGGGACTTTTCGACAGACTGAAGTCAATGTCACCCAATAATTAAGTCTAAGCAATCAAAGTGTCGTTGTCACCGAAGTACCGAAACTTCTGGTTGACCAGAATTGATAAATCTTCAATTCATCACACAAACCTGACACCACCCATAACCTTAGCAGAAAAAAGGCAAGAATTTTAAGAGTTCACAAGTGTTCAACTGATATATCATGAAATACATCTTAAAAAAGACATTTGGAATAATCTCTATTCATTTCACTTACTTTGCGTGGGAGGAAAGATCCAAATTTTGCTAGCGCCTTAGCGCGATACTACAACTTTCTTTTTGTAAAGCAACTTCGGCTAAATTTAACCTTCTGGAGAAGCTGACACAACGACTTTAAAAATTATCATCCCGCTAAATGTCTTTCAGTAATATGGGTTCTAAACTCCACATTCCAGCAGAGGCAATGAAAGCAGAGGTAGAAGCAACTGCGAAAATATTTCACATCCTCTTCAAGAAGATTTGGGATGAGGAACAAATACCATCAGATTGGAAAGAAGGATACCTGATCAAAATACCAAAGAAAGGCGATCTGACCAAATTGCTACATTACGGATCATTGTCGAACAATTAATTGAGTGGAATTCAACCACTCTACATCAATTTCATCGACTACGAGAAAGCATTCGATAGCGTGGATAGGAAAACACTGTGGAGGCTTCTTCGACACTACGGTGTGCCTGAGAAAATAGTTCACATCATACGGAATTCTTATGATGGATTCAACTGCAAAACCGTACACGATGGACAGCTAACAGACTCTTTCGAGGTGAAGACCGGTGTCAGGCAAGGATACTTACTATCACCCTTTCTCTGTCTCCTGGTGATCGACTGGATTATGAAGATGTCGACATCTGGAGGGAGGCATGGTATCAACTGGACAGTTAAGACACAGTTGGATGATCTGGACTTCGCAGATGACCTGGCTCTTATATCGCACACTCAACAACAAATGCAAGAAAAGACGACCAGTGTAGCAGCAGCCTCTGCAGCAGTAGGTCTCAACATACATAAAGGAAAAAGCGAAATTCTCCGATGCAACACAACATGCACCAACCAAATCACTCTTGATGGAGATGCCTTGGAGGACATTAACACCTTCACATATCTGGGCAGCATCATAGACAATCAAGGTGGATCCGATGCAAATGTGAGGGCGCGGATAGGCAAAGCAAGAGCTGCATTTCTACAGTTGAAAAATATCTGGAACTCCAAACAACTTTCAACCAAAACCAAAATCAGGATTTTCAATACAAATGTCAAGAGTGGTCTACTGTATGGAGCGGAAACTTCGAGAACTACGAAAGCCATCACCCACAAGATACAAGTGTTTATTAACAGTTGTCTACGCAAAATACTTCGTATTTGTTGGCCAGACACCATCAGTAACAACGAACTGTGGGAGAGAACAAACCAGATTCCGGCGGAGGAGGAAATCAGGAAGAGGCGGTGGAAGCGGATAGGACACATTACGAAAAGCACCAAACTGTGTCGAAAGACAAGCCCTCACATGGAACCCTCAAGGCAGAAGGTAAAGAGGAAGGCCAAGGAACACAACGCCGATAAATTGAGAAAGAAAGATATGAGAGGAATGAACAAACATTAGGAAGAACTGGAGAGGGAAGCCCAGGACAGAGTTGGTTGGAGAATACTGGTGGGCGGCCTATGCTCCATTGGGGGAAACAGGCGTAAGTAAGTAAGTAAGTCAACTCCACAATGGCATATGTTGTTAAGTGTTATCAGTAAGCATCTCCGCTCCCAAACATTATAGTCATGACGAGCGTTCTTTTTTGCATTAAAACCTGTTGAATATAGTTGATGATTATCTACAACTGAAACTTTTGGTTGCTATCTATGCCTTTTGAAAAAAAATCAGGCAGTCAAGTTCTCAGTCTCTGTCAGGCGATCCATGTAATTTATTTGTTGCGTTTTTTCCTCATCATGCTGGCAGGAATGGTCATCCAAATTCATCATTGCGGCAGATTACTGCGTCTCTTTTCTGTTGAAGGTGACAGGTGTGACAGGTGTAAGAGATGGTTTCACAAAATGAGTGTCAGTATGTCGCCGGTCACGTATGAACGTTATTGTAAACCGACCTTACCCTGGTTATGTTTAAAATGTTTTCCTGACAAAGAGATTCTGCCCGATGAGGCATTGTAGCTCCTTACTTTGATGAATAAGAAGAGGGATGACGTCAATTCACTTTGGATAAAATGATTGAATCCCAAAAGATCTGGAGTATGTGTTACATAAGCGCTTGTGGCCTTGGAAACAAATCATCCATGCTAAGTTTACTGACGGATGAATTAAGTCCCGACACAGTTGTCGTCGCAGAAACGTGGCTCGTCATAGATGTAGATTGTTCCCCAATCGTTACAAAAACCATATGATAGCGTCATAAATAGTAAGGAGGGAGGCGCAATCTTTTTTGTTAGAGATAACTGCAGTGTATAGTTGAGCATATCAGAAGTGCATGAATATGATACATGTGAGGTTGCTTGTTTTATAATGAAGTCTGAACATGGGTTAGTGACCAGAGGAGGGATATACTTTAGTCCATGTCGTCTTATTGATGACTTTATTCCAAGTCATGCTCTTTCCATGGTTCGACTCTCTAGGTATTATAAAGATGCTATAACTACCTCTATATTTAAGCGTGACAAGAGATGAAACGTATCTAACTACCGACCTGTCAGTCTAACCAGCATAGCAATTAAGTTAATTGGAAAAATGATTCGGATTGAGTTGCTAAGTCATGAAAAGTCGTACCGCCTGTTAGCTTCTCAGCAACATGGGTTTAGGAATAAACACTCACGCCCAACTAACGTAATAATTACGAGAGGATTTAATACAATATTCATAGGTTTTAGCCAAACTTCTGATAGGGTTTCTCAGAAGCTTAGGTGTTTTTCAGAGTCTCCAGCAGCTGCAGTATACGAGTGGTTAAAATTCCTGCGTTGCCGAAGACAAAAGGCTAGAAAAATTGGGGAACAAACTGAATAAAAACCGGTCAGATTTTTCAGTTGTATCCATCATAAGAATTCCGTATGATGTGAACTATTTTCTCAGGCACACCGTAGTGTCGAAGAAGCCTCCACAGTGCTTTCCTATCCACGCTATCGAATGCTTTCTCGTAGTCGATGAAATTGATGTAGAGTGGTTGAATTCCACTCAATTAATTGTTCGACAATGATCCGTAATGTAGCAATTTGGTCAGTACACGATCGATACTTACGAAATCCAGCCTGTTGATCCCGAAGTTGTACGTCCACGAAGTCCTTCATTCTGTTTAACAATACCCTGTTGAAGACTTTGCCTGGTATTGAAAGAAGAGTGATGCCTCGGTAATTCTCACACTTGTTGAGATCGCCTTTCTTTGGTATTTTGATCAGGTATCCTTCTTTCCAATCTGATGGTATTTGTTCCTCATCCCAAATCTTCTTGAAGAGGATGTGAAATATTTTCGCAGTTGCTTCTACATCTGCTTTCATTGCCTCTGCTGGAATGTTGTCTAGCCATGCTGCTTTGCTGCTCTTGATTTGTCTGATGGCCATACTGATCTCCTCAATTGTAGGTGCCCTTATATCAATTGGGATGTCCGTGGATGCTGCGTCGATGTTGGGTCTGTTCAGTGGAGCTGGTCGATTCGAGAGTTCCTTAAAGTGCTCTACCCACCTAATTCTCTGTTCTTCAGTGTTGTTGATTACCTTACCTTCCTTGTTTATCATTGGTCGTTCTGGTTTGCGATAGTTCCCGGCCAGCTTCTTTGTTGTTTCTTACAATTGTCTCATGTTTTTGTCTCTTGCAGCCTTTTCCGCCGTCATTGCTAGATCCTTCACATATTTTGGTTTGTCAGCTCCGATGCTCTTCTTCACTTCACTGTTTGCTACTTTATATGCAGTTTGTGGCTTAACTTTCTCTGCTCTTGTTCGGCTGACATTGGTTTTTGCCTTCTTGTTCCTCCTTTCTTCAATATTTTCAAGAGTACCAACAGAGATCCATTCCTTGTGATGGTGCTTCTTGTGACCCAGAAGACTTAGTAGCAGATTAATCTAAGGGGGAAACGTATATATTGCTTGGTTTCCCGTTTCGATCATGTAGCCACTCTTTCAAAAATAAGGGATAATTTTGATTCTTTAGGAACTCAGGAGTTTGATTTTACACCATTAACCCAATACATTAACATGCTATGGAGTCGTTTGAATTGACCTGACATTGGAAAATCGTAACATAGCGCGGTTACTTGAGAAGTCGGTTTTCAAATCTCGGGGACACGCTTTTCTCCCAATATGTCTTTGGACATGGGGTTGTTTTCCGTTCTAGAGAAAAGTCTTTCCTTAGGTAAGGTTAAGCATATAATCAAATTTATTGTTGTTTGAAAATTTCAGAAAAGTCAGAGCTTGAAGCAGCTCAGCACTTTCTTGAGGAAGCAGCCAAAGTCGACCTTTTTGGTCTCCTCAAACAACTCAGTGATGTTTTGGTTAATGTTGAATGTTCGCCTCCTGTACGTATGCAGGCTGGTATCCAGCTGAAAAACGCCTTGTACTCTAAAGACCCGGCATTGAAAACCCTTTATCAACAACGTTGGTTGCAGGCCCCTTTAGATTCTAGGCAGTACATTAAGAAAAACGTACGTTTTCACAAAATCTAATCCTTTTTTCCAGTGTCTCGCTGCCTTAGGAACAGAAATTACAACACATAGTTCTGCTGCACAATGTGTGGCTTATATCGCATGTGCAGAAATTCCTGCACTGCAGTGGCCAGATTTGATGGAGCGATTAGTCGAAAATGTTATTACACCAAACAAAACTGAATCATGCAAGCGTTCAACATTAGAAGCAATAGGATACATATGTCAGGATATAGTAAGAGCAGTGTATTTGTATAGTTCCGACAGGATCCCTGTATTTTAGCAAGCCAGTCAAACGCTATTTTAACTGCTATAGTTTGCGGTATGAAAAAAGAAGAACCAAGGTATGTTAAATCCAGCCAGTCTCATGACTTTTGTTTCAGTGATAGCGTTCGTCTAGCTGCAACAAATGCTCTTCTGAATTCCTTGGAGTTTACAAAGCACAATTTCGATGTTGATGTAATTTAATGTTTGATTACTTCATTTTATATCTTAGAACGAGCGAAACTACATTATGCAAGTTGTTTGCGAATCAACTCAATCACCAAATCCTCAAATCCGTGTTGCAGCTCTTCAGTGCTTAGTAAAAATAATGTCTCTTTACTATAGTTATATGGAGCCGTATATGAAGCAAGCATTATTTGCTGTAAGTTATTTAGAGTATGTATAGTTCATCTGATAATCATGTTCCTTACTTTTTATTGATAGTTGTGGTTTAGTATAATAAGGAATCCATCTGGTTACAGCAAACCACATTCCATATCAGTTTCAAAAACATGAGGTTGGAAGTACTGTTCTGACTGCATATGCAGCGAAATGGGCTTATGGTTACTCATATTCATTCAAGAAGTCATCGCATTTTTTTCTTTAGGACGTACACTCTGAGCTCCAGCGTTTCATAATATGTAACTCAGCATTCTGTTTTGTTTATTTCTGATTCAAGCTCCTGACTGACCTGTGCGTCCACAGAACATCGACTTGTGGATTACAAAGTATTTATTATGAAGACCTAAAACAACTGCGGTTGTATGTGCTTTGTAGTTAGCTGGCTTCCGTCCACAAACCAGTTTATTAACGTCCTAATTCGTATGAATCCGTTAAATATTTCATTGATTTATACTACATACGTAAAACCATCTTTTAAAAACGTGTAAAGTAGTAAAAACTTCGGATATAGCTAAAGTCATTTCACCCATCACTTAGTTCAGTCAACTAGGGCCTCATGTACTGTAAACGATGTCATGTAAGAGCTGGCCCAAACACAAGTGAATCGAAGCTCATTTTGGCGACTTACTGGTTAAAGGTCGAAAGTTATTAGATGAATTTTCTTTTCAGTAATTATAAAAACAAGAATTTAGGGTTCAACACATGTTTTAGAAAGTGGGTTAAATTATGTCGATGACCACGTTTTGATTAATATTTGAAAAGAATCAAACTGGGTTTAAAGAAAATCGCTGCTTAATAACCTATCACTTTCCACTAGTTTACTCTCTATGTACTTGACTAAGAGACTAACTATTGCTAAAGCGATGCAGTTAACATAACAAAAATAATTCCACTGGTATTTCTATCTTTTAAAAAGTAATATCTCTTGGTACGTCGGAAAATAATGTTCGTAATCACTGTATTCTAATAAAGTTAATATTTGCTATATCTGTATACAATGTCTACCGAAGTAATTATTTAAATTTAGGTGGCTTTGACCTCATCACTTAAACTTTCAGTTATCAGTCACTAAGCCACATGTTCAACATATCGAAAGCTAAAGAGTATCTTAGACTTAAACTTAAGCGTAGAAACTTCTTAAAGAATGGTAGTTTATAGACTTGTCTTGTAACTAGTGATCAGTAAGCTAGAAGTTCACTATCTCCTCTGGTTTAGTCAGCTTAGTGTAGTTATTAACCATCACGCGAAATATTGCGCTAAATTTTTGCGGTAGCCCAAATGTTTTTGTAATTCCTTCAGTCAGTCAGATACAACTTAGAACTTCGTACTTATGTACATCAGCTGAAGTTTCCTTACCTCATTAGAACAGAGACGCAATTGTGGATTCAAATCCCATAGTGGTAGGTGTAGTGGAAGTATAAGCGTTAATGGAGAAGGTTAGGGTTCGAGGATATTATTCAAGACGTATAATCTAGTAAAATGAACTTTGAAAAGGTGCTGAAGAGTTTAGAAGATTAGTATTCGCCAAAAGGCAAAGAACGGGTGCACCACCTGAGCCATTGCAAACGATTTTGAGTCATGTCATTCAAAGTCTAACCATCGGTTATTATTATCTCACGGGCCTTAGTCAGATATTTACACTTACCAACATGGTTCAGTCCACCTGTCGTGTGTATGGAAAATAATGAAAGAAGGGAATACCAATGTATTTCTTTTTATAAAACTGCAATCCACATCGGAATTGGTGAGCATTTACTACAAATGACTGTGTTGCTGTCATCAGTACTATTTTTTTAAAAGTCAGTTGGCCTTCATTAACTTGGAGATTGACAAACAGACAGGGTATAAGGGTGGTTGTCACTTCCCGGCTGCTTTCACCGTGGAAGGTTGTTTCTTGAGGGATATGAAAAGGAAGGTAGATTAGTGTTGGTCTTAGAGACCTGGGTTGTTGAGTGAATTCTCCTTCAAACACATATATAAGTACATTGATGTTTGAAAGATAAAGGTGTTGAGGAGGTCAGAAGATTAGTATTCGCGAAAAGGCAAAGAACTGGTGCACCACCCTGAGCCAATTGCAAACGATTTTGAGTCATGTCATTCAAAGTCTAACCATTGGTTATCAATACTCCCCCCCCCCCCCCCCCCCCCCCCCCCCCCCCCCCAACCCCCCCCCCCCCCCCCCCGACGGACCACAACCAAGGTAGTCTAGTCCGTAATTTGTCTAAATCGTCCGTTGATACTTCCTT